GTTGCTATGACGCAATTTTTGCAAAAACGGTTAGTCGAAGTAAACTAAACGCACCTTACAAGGCTAAAATAACCTCGATACTTGCAACTCATTGCCTTACTGGAAAGAAAACATACTTCTAAGGTACAGTAGTATATTGAAGAGTCTTGGAGTATATACCTTTGGATTACCAAAGCTATAATTTTTTGTATAATTTAGAAACTTGTGATGATAAATAATGTTTTCATCATTATGGTTGGTTATTTTAAACATGGATAAATAAGTTTATATCCTTAATTTACTCAATGTTTAAATTTAATGCACTTTTTATGTGATGAGTTATTTGTAATCAGTTTTTTTTTTTTTAAGTAAACTTACGGTCAATTGGACCTAAACAAATATGTGTCTGAACACTTAAATCCCTCTTATTTATAATTAGAATTTTATTTGTGCACATAGTATATGTAATATTTTATTACAAGTCGATAATTTATCAAAACGAGCATTAACTTTTGCTCGTATTGTTTTGAATGTTTAGACAAAGATTGATCCTTTTCGTTAGTTTTCTATTAATTACTCATTACTGGGTTTAGAAATGGCAGATATTTTGTAGCGAATAACCCCCTTTGAATGAGAGAACAATGGTATTTTGATTAAGTTGCTATGAATAAACTAGCAGTATTATATTTAAATAATATAGTCAGGTCAGATACAATATTGCAATAACGGAGTGCTTTGAACGGATAATTATTACTGGAAAATTGCTTAGTAATTTTGTTTAATCAATTACAGACCGACTAGTTATGATTTAGGAATATAAAATGAAAGTTTTACTGAAAGAGACACAATTATGTAATATTCCCCTCCTCTTCTGAATCCTCTTCTGTGTTCAGTTATAGTAATTAGGTTCGACGTTGCAGAGAGTTTATGTAGCGTAAAGTAAATCACAGCTGATCAAATATTTACGTAATTTGTGAGAACTGGGACATAACCAAGACACTTCCTGGGTCAATACACTGACTGAAATTTCAGCATATTACTCTCTACATTCATAATTACTGTACTACAATACACATACTGAAGTGTGCGTGCTTATACATTCAACGTATCGAACATTGTCAAATTTTACTGTAAGCCAGTAAACTCTTCATGGTCTTCACTAACTGAACTAAGCCATTGACTAACAATTAGTCAAATGGGAATGTTGATGATTTCATCAATGTACCACGTAGTACATTAGTTATAACTGATTTTAAATATATTATGATTCTAGAAGTTTAAAACCTACACAAGGTTATGGTTGAATAAGGGAAGTTTACATGTACCCTTGGGGTTCCGATTCCGGTCGCGGACATAGCGGACCAGCTGGTTGCCTGGTTTCGTGACGTCACGTTTAGCATGGTTACAGTTTAAAGCTAACAAATTACATAATAGATTATTCTAAAAGAATCAACCATTTTCCTTATTGATGTCCACAATACTTGAGGTATACCATTTTTTTCAAATAGCAATGAGTCTAAAAGATCAGTAAAATGTACACCGTTTAACGGGCGCTCTGTTTTTGAGCCTGAAACCCCAGTAAGCGTTAATTTTGAGCACGACACTGAAGCGGCAATAATGGCTCTCTTATCCCTTAAAGATTTTAAGCACGGTCTTCGTAGAACTCTTACGGGTAAGTAAAAGGGGGGGAAGAAACACATCCATGTCAATCCACAAGAACAAATTTATTTCATCGCTTGTGGGCTACATATTTAACAAAATATTAATTTCTGTGTCCATAACCTGCTGCAATTTTAATTCAATAAATCTCTGGCTGCCGCCTGGGTAGTCATTTCCAACTTGCCCGCAAGGACCTATGTAGACAGTCCTGAAAATAAACTGCAATGGGAAAAACCCGTTCATGTACCATTTCTTTGAGTAGTTTAAGTATTTTAAATTTCGGCCTTTTGAAAACTGCTCAACTATATGAATTAGAATTAAATAGGGTTGTCATAGCCAACGAGGTAAAAAGCTACTGGCATGCCAAATCTCAAATGTCCAAGGTTCACACCGTACAAAATTTACCAAGGAATTTGTGATAAACACTCCACAAAGTAAGACTGATACTTGGAAATGATACTCGGCAAAGCCGAACATAGAAAAGCCAAATTTCACGTACGAGGCGAAGCCGATGATGAGAAATAATATAGCAAGTGCCGGAAAATCACTTTCTCTACGAGTCATGAACGATTCTTTTAATCACGACGCAATTATACAGGAATACATAATAATTGACCTCAATAATATTAAAACTATTTTAACTCTCAAAAACCCTTTTTAAAATATAAAAATAAAAGGAAAGTCTCCATAGCAAACCCACATTATAACTTAAAAATTAATCGTTCCAGGTTATGTTTATTGTACCCGTTTTCATCGCTAGTGACTATGATTTCTTCGTTTATAAGTAGTTTGATGTTTAGACACATCCACATCTTCTTTTAATTTCTCTCTTTATCATTGAAAGTCTACTTCACAACGTAAATGTTTTTATGATTATAGATTTCTCAGATAGATATATGAATGAATGAATGAATGAACATAGTTTATTAAAAAAAAAACATAGGCTACAAGCTGTGATTATAAACTAAATAAAGTATAATAGACAGAGACTTTTGTCACTAAAATATATTACACGAGTTTTAATAAAGCCAAAAATTATAACAATAAAATAAAGGAACTAGCAGACATAGGCAGTGCTACCTGTGCGTCTGCTAAGTTGCTGTCAAATAGAAAAAAGTAAAATTATTGAATTTTGGAATGGCAATTAAAAAAAGACAATATGTCGTTGTTATGATTAGTTAAATAAGTGAATGTATTTCCATGAACACAGTGCTGGTAGGATAGCGCTTATAGATTTTCGTGGTGACCAGGAGAGAGAGAGAGAGAGAGAGAGGGTGTGTGTATAAATAAATAAATATAAATAAATAATTCATCACTTACATTATTTGATTAAACATTTTGAATTTGTACCAGTCCGTTAAACTTTATGTATTCTCTTCATATATTTCCCGTAATTTTTCTGGTGGAAGGTTTTATAGTTATCTCTGAAGCTTTTTTCATCAAACCATCAGGAATGATGGACATATTTTGAGCAATTTCAAACACATACTATGCTAAAAATACAGCAAGATAAATGCCTGCTTCTGTATACATTTAGATTGTGCAACAATGAAAACAGCTGATTTAAACCATTGTAATAAACCGTAACAAACACTAGAGTGCTTTGTGGGTAGATGGAGAACTAATCGAGAGCGAGGGAAAATCAGCTGATCGTTTTCCCTCCCTCTAAATTAGAACTAGGGAAACAACTACTTTTTGATATCAGCTCTTATCGAAAATAGCTACTTTCGGTACGGAGTATTGAAAAATTATTGAACTCTCATACCTAGTGGCTACAAGTTCAAAATCAACACAGGATTAGCGAACTCATTACCGCTTCAGTGCCGTGCTTAAAATCACTGCACCAAACATTTCATAAGAGAGATTTGGTGTAATTCTCACACCGGCTAATATGTCCTCCTAACACACGTAGGTGCCGATGTGGTTCAAAACCACAGAATAGTTATAATAGGCTAAACCTTACTATCCTCTTAGATACTATCTTATGCTATCAGATAAATTAAAATCTATCAGAAAAGAGACTCGACATATCATTACCCCGATTCGGACCATAACCACCTTCACTTATATTGATTATCTTTTAGAGACAATTCACCATACATTAAACATTTACTCTGATGTAATAGTCGCTCATACATTGTATCCGACATATCGCCGCTTTATATGATGTAGCAATCCATCACATCGATACAAGAGACGAAACGCGATGTATCAACGGGGACACCGAAACTGCCACGACCTTTTACGATCATGCTCCATACTGAAACTGCCACGGCAATTAGTGAGGATTATAGGGGTGTTTTAGAGGGCTAGAAACACTGAAACTGCCACAGCGGATTCCCCAGATAGACGGGGAGAAACGGGAGACTTAAAATTCACATTACTGTATTAACCTTTTAATTTCTTTCACAATAATACGTTCATTGGAAAAATTAGTGATTGATTTGCCCTTTTGTATTTATATTTTAGGAGTTATTTTTATGTTAATTTAAGTTTTTTGGTGTTGCGACCGTAGTATTTACTTTATAAGTATTTATTCCGTCTCTTGAGAATATATTTACTTTAATGAAAGTGTTTTTTTTTGCAAAATATTAATAGTAGCCTATAGGATGAAATCAATAAATTCGCCAAATATTATCAACATAGCCTATTTATCACAATTGTGTTTTATTTATACTTCAGGACACGTATCCTGCTGTGCTATTATTTGTATTAGATTATGTTTCTTGTTGTGCAATTTTGACAATGCCTACCTACACCTTGGTATATTTATAAACTTAAAACTTAAATGATAAAATATGTGTTTTTCGAGTTCTTTAACGCCAGCAATTCACTATAACGGGGTAAGAGCATTCTTATAATACTTTACATTCCATTGCAATCTTAATCCCTTAGAACATATTATTTAATTATTTTTTACTTCATCGGTAGTTAAATGACTTTTTCTATTGGTACTTGATTTAAATAAGTACAAAGTTAGTATGGCCTCTTTTAAGTAGCGACATGAAAAGCATTTAACTAAGTTATGAGCAAAGTAAAGTGTTGTGTTTCAAAATCGTCACTGTGATGAGTGAGGGATATTCTCATTCCCGTTTCTCCCTGCACGTTGCCAAACCAACCTTCCTTACCTGAGGAATCCGCCGTGGCAGTTTCAGTGTTTCTAGCCCTCTCAAAAACACCCTTATAATCCTCACTAATTGCCGTGGCAGTTTCGGTATGGATTATGATCATAAAACGTCGTGGCAGTTTCGGTACAGCCGTATCAACACCGTGTTGTGTCTGACGCGTGGCGGAGTGAAAGTAGTGCGTCGTTGCGTTGCACGCAGTGTTGTAGTGGTGCGGTAGTGATAGCTGCTATCTTTGGTGGGGTGGACCGCGGACCGCAGTACTCGGAACATGTCCGCAGCGGTCGGGTTGTTCGCGATAGCGGGGTGCGCCGTCGTAGCTACCTTACTTACGGATTTCCTATGGGCGATTTTGCTCGGTGTGCGTGCCCATCTTCTTCCAAAACTTCATTATTTCTCGATTGATCTCAAGGAAAAATACGGATCATGGGCAGGTCAGTAAAATGTTTCAAACTAATTTTAAAATAGTTTTTTTTTGTAAATAATGTATTTTGAAATTTTTATTTTTTTAGTATCTCAGATTTTTAATTAAAATTAAAATCCGTAAAAATGTGTTAATTGAAAAATGTTCATTTAATCATTTTTATACCATTTAAAAAACAAAGTATAACTAATGAAATGGATATTATTACTCTTTGTGCAATTGTAAAACTCGTTTTTAACAAAGAAGTTTCTAGATATAGAATAAACTTATGAAAAACTAAGTACCTGAATAACAACAGCAACTAGCTCTCTTTTATCTGATAGTTTTTGATACGAGTACTTTAAGAGGGCTCTATATACAATAAACAAATAATTGTATAGATTACGAACCACTAATAAATTTAACATTTATTTGTTAACATTACCTTTTGATACCCAAGATAGATGTCACATCGTACATACATAATAGAATTGTTCTGAAAAATAAGCGTCATTTAGCTTACTTTATTATACTGAAACTCACGGCAACAGCCTGTGTTTTTTCCACAGACATGCTTTTGCTACGAGTTAGATGACAAATATATTTTTACGAATATGACTTGTCAGTTACTGTAATTGAACCAAAATAATTGTTGCAAACATGACTAAATCACTGATGATCTTAGTATTGATATTAGGTTATTTAAAGGTGTGAGGTGTATATTATATCTCGGGACACTCTCACAAAAAAAAAACAGGGATTTAACGTTTATGTTGGGTCAATATGCTGTAACTTTGACCCAAATAAGAAAACAAGAAGGTAACTATTTTGAAATAAAATAGCTACAAATTTCCCTGTAAATTTGCTTAAAGAAGTTATTTACCATGATTTCGTCTATTGATTCATAATACCTCCTCTTAAGAGTATTTTTAAATCTTGATTAGGTGCCTTTAGATATAGATTTAGGGTTTTTTTAGTTTTACAAGTTTATGTTCCTCTAATCAAACATGTTTTTGATCTTTTCAATGAAGAAGAAGAAGAACAACAATGTTTACAATATTAAATAACAACAAGTTAATAGTATAGACATCAATGGTTTTCAATACAAATTTCATTGTAAAACATCAGTGTATCACTATTTGAACGTGTGTTGTATGTGATAGTATGCACTAATAAAGTAAATGTAATCAAGAATTAAATTTTATAATGATTAAAGTGTAATTTCATTCTTTTGCACAATTGTTAATGTTATATTTGTACACTGTTTCTGAAAATATTTCATTACTTTCTTGGTCATTACGCCTTTAAGGGCATTTACTTTTGTATATATCTTTCTAGCATTTTAAATCTCTTGTGAGGGTGCATTTGCATGTATTTTAATGACACTTAGCGTTTACTCATTCAAACAAATGATGCAATATGAAATTGGGAAACAATGACAAAAATATAAAATTTTGGCGTTATATGGATATTTTTGTACGCACATTTATTTGAAAAAATCTAAATAATTATTATTCAAGCCTTTCATATAACTCCTCACTGCCTTTAAAATACATAAACGAGAAAAGCCTGAGTATCAAGATGCTACGCAAAACTAACTGGCAGAAAAATAGTAACCTCCGTACAACCAACGTGAAAAAAATGTTTCTTACCCTAAATGCCTAAATGTCATCAGACATAATATAAAGCAGAATCACCATAAACTTTATTGAAAACGTTTTCATTTTAAATTTTCAACTTTCAATTTAAATCTGTCTCATCAGAATAGGCTACCATTAATTCATCATCAGTACTTTTTAGATCTCTGAATAAAATTGAACATACAATTTTTTTATTTTACTCCTATGATTGTGCCTTTGAATACTAACACTAAAACTAGAACTAGAACTTCCAAGTACAGTTTTTTGTTTGAGTAGTTTTTATGTACTTTGACGGCTGTCAAAACAGTTACTTGTTTAATTACCATAATTTTACTAGTTGACCGTAATTGTTATTATATTTGTTTACTTACTAGTTCTCTGGTTCAATAAAATTCAATAATCTGTAAAGAGTCAGTTAAAGTTCTGTAATTGATAGAGCTAACGACCAAATTACTGTTCCAAGTTATAATTTCAGTTCACATTAAACTGTTGATGAAAATCAACATTTATACAATTTAAATCCATGTGTATAGCCCCTGAGCTGTTGGACATAATGTAAGACTAAATTACTTACGTAATTCCCGTCACAGCTCAATAAAATATGTCTATTCAGGACATGTTTCGGTGTTAAAACACCATCGCCAGCTTCAGGTACATAGTGTAGAGTTGATCAGTTGTTAACATCGTCAGAAGATAAATTGTTTTATGTATTTATTCGTGTCCGTACTGTGTTTATCTTCTGACGATGTTAACAACTGATCAACTCTACACTATGTACCTGAAGCTGGCGATGGTGTTTTAACACCGAAACATGTCCTGAATAGACATATTTTATTGAGCTGTGACGGGAATTACGTAAGTAATTTAGTCTTACATCAACATTTATAGTTTCAATTTAGTGTAGTTAGTATCGTACCGGGTACCAAACGCTTGACAAAAGAATATCCATAGTAATTAGTATTAATATTAATCATCTTAGTGTTGCATGTTGACGAAAATGAAGCCATTCTCTTGGTACCTTGGTTAATCGAAAGAAACTGTCCATTGGTACAACTGAACTGGGTACAATTTCTCTTCAAAAATGCTTTTTGCAAAATGGGATTTATTCGAATTGGTGCACATATTTATACCCACCCATAGAGTGATAAATTTCCTTGGTATTTCATGACAGACATGTCTATCTGAGTAAACCTACAGGCTTCTTACTACTAAATGCAAATATATAATGTACATTACTAAATTTTGTTTGTATCCATAAATTTCTTTGAAACACTACTAAAAAAAATCAAATAGTCTTACATCATTAGGAATTTTAATATTATTCGCCTATTTAACTATAAACCAATCATACAACAAGTACAAGGGAAAATAACTTGGTTAAATATTACATGCATATTACTTTTCTGTGGTACAAGTGTTTTCTGACTAAAAGAGGAGAGTAGGGTCCACACAATCTTGGAGAATTAATCAGCAACGAACTCATTCGTTTCGATATTTATCTACGCTGTATTTTCAATTTGACTAAAGCTGTTTGTTGTAGTTTTATTTGTTGTTCCGGAAGACTTAAATATAAGATGAAAGTTTGTAGGCATACTGTGAGAAAGCTCTGGATTTGTCCTTCAACAGTAGGGGAAAGGCAGTTCACCGACATTCGATTGCAGCTGAAAACAACGCTATACTACAGAAATCGCTTACGCAATGTTTCTGGTCAGCAGTTTCCTAGTTTGTGGTGACAAGTTTAGATGGCTGTTCACCCTACAAAATTAAAATCTCTAGTTTCCAATTGTTGATACTGTATAGGTAAACATAGCCATGGTGATATCAATGAAAACGTTGCATATAAAAACATACAATGACACCAACGAGGATCCCTATTCCATTTTATTCACAGCTTTCAGGGACTGAATAACGTAAAGTCTGTTCTTCTATATCGAACCTGAACGTATGTATCCAGTGTTAACTCAAAAACTGCTGTCTGAGCTAAGTTAAGAGCCGCTGTAGCAACAAAACATGTCATTGAAGATCCGGAAGAGGAAATGGAGGTGGCTGGGCCGCACTGTTCATAATCCAGATGCATTCGAAAAGAAGGCTATGGGGTGGATTTTTCCCGAGGGACAGGAAGGGATACCTGCGAAATTGAAGGACCACAAAATACCCAGACGCACATAGAGAAGAAAGGTAGATATAGAAACCTTGAATACTTGGCTAAAGACAGAAGAACGGTCAGCTCTTCTAAAATGTCCTATTCCCCAGCGGCCGGAAAAGGTCAAGTAGCCTAAGTAAAGTTGATGGCTGCTGAATATTCGTTCCTTACAATTAGCCAATTAGTGTTCTAAGGAAAAATTGTAATGTACAGATCTGTTGCTGTTGTTATACAGTGTTCACATTAATACTATTCGGGATCTAGTAGTTTGGCGGTTCTATGTTGTCCAGTAAGGTACCGTAGGAAAGGGAAAGTGGTGATGTAGATAATTCCTTTCCAGTCCCACCAGTCGATGACGCAATTGATGTGCAACGGGTACAAGTGACTCGTGAACGAACCTCGAGAATCTGGTGAAATACCTCTCAATTGCCTCAACTATACGAATACAGAAACCTGTTTATCTAACCTAACCTAAGCCATCCCAACTAAACATTTGAGAACTAATAATCGTTTATTGGAATCTAAGGCAGATATTATCCATTAATGTTGCCATTGCATTCTACATTGTAACGGTTTTTATTTTGGTTATAACTGATACGATCACTACGACAGTTAGTATAACAGTATTTATTTTATTAGATCTTTGTTAGCTAAAGTCTAGCATAATGTTTTTCATAAACTTATACTCGTTTTGCCAAGTGATTGTATGGTTTTCTCCAAGGACCTTAAAATACTTTGGAACTTCGCTACACAAAGGTGGATAAACTTGTTAGGGACCTAATGTTCACTTCTCCTGAACACTTTTGTATATTTTGTTCCTAACATGGGGCTAAATGGCCTGGTTTTGTGTGTGTCTGTCTGTATGTGATTTTCACAAATGTATCCAGAACTGTCTAACCCCTTTAACGATTGACTTTAAACTTAAACACTAGTAGAGGACAGGTATGTCGAATATGCTCACAAAGAATCACATTTATACAACTTTACCATATTTATAAACTAAAAATGGCAGCATTAAAAATCTATTAATATTTAAGAGTTTTTATTATCATCTGAAATATTCGTATAAATATTAGTGATATACGAAAATATATTAAGAGTAAGCGTTTTTACTATCTGAAACTACCAAGCTAGAATTGACCAAATCAACAGTCTTCCCTATAATTTACTATGCACTTCCATCGTTTGGTGAATGTCTTACTCTTGACTGTAGAGTTCTTCTTACGAGGTTGCAAAACCGAGCCCTAA